TGCCGCCACTCTCTCGCCCCGGCCTCACTACGCCCCCCGCCCATTTCGCCCGCGCGCCTCAGCGACCCCGCCTCTCGCCCCTGCCTCCGCCCGCCCTCGCCCCCCTCGGCCCCCCCCCCGCCTCCCCGCCCCCGCCTCGCCCCGCCTCGGCCCCACGCCCTCGCCCCCCGCCTCGCCCCCGCCTTTCGCCCCCGCTCGCCGCCTCGCCCCGCCTCGCCCTCGCCTCGCCCCCGCCCGCCTCGCCCCGCCTCGCCCCGCCCCGCCTCGCCTCGCCCCGCCTCGCCCCGCTCTGCTCCATCCTGGCTGCCTCTCTACATCTTTGCTCAACATCCGCCTCACCCCAGATCCGCTCCCACTTACTGTACATCTCCTTGTGTTACGCTCTGCCCCTACATCACCTCCTCACAACTCATTTCGTCGTGAAGAGGCTTGCTTTTCCATGCTCACGAAAAGGATACTATTTGTTATGTTGCTTTGCTTACATATGTTCCTCAGTTAATTTTTTCGATTTCTTTTGTTTACAGTATCATATATTTTGAATAGGTCTTAAAGGTAGTTTATTGATACTAATAATCTTACTAGTACTGCTCCGGGCAGCCTATCTGTTTATGCTCTCGTCAAACCGTCGCAGCTAGCTACAAGAACAAAAATCTTCATTATCTCGTTCTAAAGCCTTATTGACATTGCGTAATGTGAGTGCACTTTGTCTGCTGCACAATGAACTGGAAAAAAAGGACGTCGCAGTTGTTTAGCAGTAAAAGAGGAGGGGGGGAAAGTTTCCACGCTTGTGCCTCGGCTGTGGCATTGTCTCTCGCTCCCCATTGTTACGTTGCCTTACCGAGCTGGCGCTTTGTGTCATAGGACTTGGCGAGTTCAACCGGACGCGCTCCCTGTAACTGCAGGTATCGAGATTCAGCGGTTGCGTTGACGGGAGGGGGTGGAGGAGGAGGGGGAGGGGCGCTGCGAGCGTTACGGTCAGCTTCCTTTCAGCTCCGCAGATGGAGATGTTTCTGCCGAGCGGCACGGAACTTGTTAGCGAAGCGCGAGGCTACCTGTCAATGCCAAGCATACGCGATGGAGATTTTTTTTTATTATTTATTTTATTTTTACAGAACATACATAGATAAGCACTTCTAATGCAATTTACATATGTTGTGCAGGCTTACATTCTAATTTACCTAAAAATAAACTACATA